TCTATATTTGTACATGGTCAACTGTCTATGGCCACCCTAGACTGAATGCACCTGGTCTTACCTGATACTTGGGCACAAGCCAAGAAGTTGGGATCAAGTACTCGGTTAGTGTCAGCCCACAGAAACCAAATGAGTCAAAAGCCTTCATTCAGCCTCACTGATGTTGAGCCAATGAAGTGGAATAGAAAAAAAAATAATCAAACTGAACATTGGACTCAATAGGTGCCTAGAATCAATTCATAGCAGAAGCCGTCTGTTTCTGCAGAATTTAGATTTTTATTTTTTAAATAGTCCTTAAGGAAAGAAAACCTTGTAAATGTAGAAGAAAAGGAAATGCTGCCTCCTTGAGTCTGCAGATAAGAAGGAACAACAGCTTTAAAGGGTGAGAACTGTTCCAGTTCAATCTTAGCAATATGTTAACTCCAATAAGAACATAAAGAATAGTCTTGCTTTTGTAGAAATGCTCAACTCCTTTCAGATTATAGGCAGAATTTGGGAACGTGAGGTGAATGCTAGTAGCTTTTTACTCCTCTGTCCCACTACTCTGAGTCATGATTGGGATAAAGTAAAAAATGTGCAATAAAACATCATATGTATTGGTTTTAGAGATGACTGAAAAAAACATCACTGGGGACAGCCCACGCTTTCAGGGCAGCACGCTTCCCCCACCAATGCTGACTACACACAACCCCTGGCCTACCACAGCCTCTCCTGGAATAGTTAAACCAACTGTCTAGCCGGTGTAATGCCCTGGCACAGTCTCAATAGTCCTTTGCTGCAAGGCAGTGTATACATACAGACATAGCAAACTAAAATAAGGCAAAATAAATAGACGTGTCAGATTTACAAGTTCCCCTTAGAGATTCCTAAACCTTAATTATTTTTTAAACATTTAACCAAAAATAATAATAATAATAATAATAATAATAATAATAATAATAATAATAATAATAATAATAATAATAATAATAATAATAATAATAATAATAATAATAATAATAATAATACTAATAAACCCAACCCAGAAACAAAACTGCATACATCATGTACATCATGAACTGTAGAACTGATCTCCATTCCCCTCAAAGACATTTCTCCCATAGCCTCTCCCCATATAATCCAGCTCAAAGCATAAGCTTTCCTGAAAAAGAGGAAAGGTTCATTCAAAGAAGCTAACCCTAACAGAAATCTCCATCCCACACCTTTCCAGTAGGGCACCTCACCATCCTTCTCCCTTCCTCAGACACCATGAACACATTACAGAAATGCTTTTAAAAGGACACCCAAGTTGTCTTCCCCTTTGGGAAGTCTCTCACCCCAAAGCACTAGTCCTGCTGTTGCTGTTACAGGGATTTGGTGCTCAAAGCTTTTGTCTCCTGCAGGACAGGAGATGGCCTTTGTGCTCCTATGTCCTGGAGCAGCTTTAATGTCATTTTACCTCGTCTCTGGAAATTCTGCTTGTGATTGATGAGAACAGTGATGCGCGTAGAAGACAGAGAAGAAGAGTGAACTGACCAAGCACTTATGTTAGTATCTCTTCTATGGTCACCCTGATGCAACCTGCTAAACTCCAGTGGGTCACCCAGATGTAAGCAAAGGAAATCTTTGGGCCAGACTGGGAGGCAAAGAACTTAACATGGTCCTGTAGCAGACAGGCTCTGGACGGACTTGCCACAAGGGAAGTGAGGCAGTGTTATCCTGACTTGGATTAAAAATTTCTGTCATGCATCCACATAAGCTCTGCTAGTAGGAAGAAGTGAATTGGTAGATCTCCCCAGCCAGGGCTCTATTATGCCAGTCTACTTCACAGCCTGGGCTGGGAGGTCACAGCTGCCTGTTGGCAAGTTAGTTACCAGCTATGTTGTGCCACTGCTCCATAGTTCCTGCTTCCTGGGATCACTGTGAGCATTTATATGAGTATGATCTTGGAATTAGCCACATCTCTTCACTGGTTGGACTCTTTTGTTCCCCTGTCCACATTTCCTTATATACAGACTTCCTACCACTTTTCTTTCCCTGGGGCTCATTGGTGCAGAAGCAGCCTATTGTTAGCATCTCACTACGGGTGGCAAAAAGGCTTTTGGGAAAGTGGATAACAGGAGCTTCATATCTAGCCAGAGATGCCAAGCTCACTGCAGGAGGCACCAAGTTACAAGGAGATGGCTGTGCTAAAAAACAAGATTGCTTCGAAGTGGAGGGTGCTGGCTGCCCCCGACTCAAAGCTACACTCGTTTCCTCCACAAGGAGAAAACATCAATATAATTTTTCCAGGGAAGTGTTTTCTTGATTCATCGTGTCCATCAAATGAATGAGCTATACATCCTATAGGCATTGCTAATACTCTTCTTTGTTGCTGCTGGTTTCAGCCTATTAACTACCAGTGAATGCAAGGAAACAAGGAGATACATATCTATGCAGATGCTGCTCCCTATCTCCTTTCCAACCAGGATGCATCTGAAGAGCTGGGTACACCCTGCAAAGATTCTTGCCCAATTAGAGAGTGAAGTTAGAAAGGCCGGAGAGAACAGGGGCTGGACAGTAACTGAACAAGTTGGCAAAGAGGATTTTGAGTCTTAGATCTGGGTAGAGGACAAAAGAGATATTGCAGGTCTTGCTGGCTCCCTAGCAAGTGTAACATGCCTTGGTGACATTGAAGCTCTGCCCATACTGACTGTTTTGGGGAGCTCTTACCTCACTGTATCATGGCACAGCTCCATCAGTGCTAGCTCTAGCACCAGTGCCAGTGCAGATGGGTAAGTCTTAGTATAGGCAGCAAATGAGAGGAATTAGAAATACGAAATGCATCAGTCTTTGTGCCAGTCATCCCTGATGATATCCTGCATGTTGCTGGGGCACTATTAGGACAAAACCTTATTCGATTGAGGACAAGGAACAAGGCGTTTATCTTTCCTTACCTGCTTACTGTCTGCACTGGGCTGTGTAGGGATGATGTGGAGGAGAAGATGTACAGCTAGCACACTTCTGGTTCTAGAATCAGACAGGAACTTGGATCCAGCGGGCACATCTATATATGCACCCAACTGCGCAGTAACTGCCATTACTGTCCAGTCCCAGCGGCACAGGGGTTGTTTCCGACCCTACTGCACAACAGCAATAAGCTACTGTGTAGTAGCATTGGTGTCATGGTTCATGCCTGCTGATGCTACATCACTGTAGCAATGAGTTATGTCACTGTAGCTTGCTGCTATGATGTGCCCAGCAATATTAGAAGGCAAGTTCCAGAGTAGAGATAGCTGCTCCCCACCTTCCTTGTGGCAAGACACCCTTCATGCTGAGGACATGTTAACAGGCCTCATTACTTTCTGCTACCTATTCATGTGAGAAAATACTGCCAGTCTTTACTGACTCAAGGCAGTAATAACCAACTCCATCTCAGAGCCCTCTTCAAGAACACTTACCACAGAGTTCATGGTCAGAAAAGAGGAGTTAACAGTCCAAAGACTACTTAGGCATGGAGAAAGCAGCCATGAGCAAGTATCAGAAACTCAATTAAAAGGTTGTGATTCCTGACTGCAGAGAAAAATGAGCTGGAGTGGACAGAGAAAATGTATCTGGAGAGCTTTTCAATCAGCTACAATAATGTAGATCTACAGTTCATCCCAGGTCAGGGCTTATGACCCTTGTGTTTTGCGTGCTCATCTGGGAGTTGGCAAGATTTCAACAGTTGTCTTTAGCTCTCTCAACATAGCCTGTAGCATCCAGAATCACAACAGAGGTCTCTGCAGTACCTTGGGCTGGGCTGTTCCCATAACCTCCCTGGCTCTGCTTTTGCTACATTCACGGCTCAACAAGGTGAACTACAGTTTCAGAAAGTCTCACATAAGCCTGGGGTGACAATCACAGGATGTGGGGATACCGCCTTGTAGTTTCAAGGTTCTTTTCCTGGGCTGGATCTTCTTTGACACCACAACCACTTCTTTCTAAAACGGGTTAGTCTTGGACTGGAGGCCAAGCAGGTGCAACTCCAAAGAAGCCACAGAGTCAGATATTCTTCCACCAGGGCTGAAATCTAACTCCTTGGTGCTAAACCTGAATTCCTGGGTGGGTCCAAAAGCCAAAGAGATAAAACAGGAGCAAAATCCCAATATTTATAATCCTTAATCTCTAAACTCTAAGGAAGAGATTTTCTTTTAAATCAAAAACTAAACTCAACTGTACACCAATTTGGCACACATTATTACTGTCTCATATGGCTTACAACGTGTAGGTTATATGGCATGCTTTAAAAAGGGGGGCTGGGATATAGTACATCTCTAGTTTGGACAGCAGCAAGGAGCTTATTAATATCTTTTACAAATGATTTTTTTTTAAATCTATTTTGTAATTTAAAATAAAAATTGCTTATAAAAGGAGGGCTTTTTTCCTTAAACTTCCCCAAACCTGTATGAAAATACAAAGTCTCTCATCTAAAAGGTGCTTAAGTCTGCTGCAATGGGAATTTCTGCTAACTGCTAACCCCAGACAGGCAGGGGAATTATAATGGAGGAGAATGCACCCAGCTCTTGTAAGATACCAGCTCTTTACCACGAGTAGTAGACAAAGGCGCGGCAGACTGGAATGTCTAAATGAAGGAAATTCTGGGGCAGGAGACTCAAAATACAGTAAACAATAAAACACTACAGTTTAACATTTTTCTTTTTGCTTATCTCCATAGTTTATATAATTATTTAACTTGCAAGGTGTTCAGAAAACCACCACAGCTGGTTTCCACAATATTGTTTGAGCATAATACTGATCGGGCAGCGTGCATGGGGCAGGAAGTTCTGTTCTGCTGACTCAGTGCAGAGTCTGAGATTAAATGACATTCAGAGAAGAATCAAACCAAGAGTGAATAAAGTGACGAATGGAGCCTTTTTTTTTCTTTTTCTTCTTTTTTTTTTTTTTTTTTTTTTTTTTTTTTCTTTCTCTCAAAAAAAAAAAAAAAAAAATTTAATAAAAGAAAAAAAAAAAAAAAAAAGAAAAAAAAGGGGGAAGGGGGCCTTTTTTTTTTTTTTTTTTTTTTTTTTTTTTTTTTACTTCCATGGGATTCTTTCAAATTTCCTGCTGTTTGCTTTGATGCGTGTTTTGCCAAGAGCATATCCCCCTCTCATCTAGGATGCTTGCATGTAGTATCTAGATTCCACACGTTCCTTTCTTTCTTTTCTTCTTTCTCTCTCTAGCAAGATAACCAAAAGTTCATTTAAGGAAGACCAGATGAAAGAAACTGCAACAACCCGCACAATCTAGACTCGCTGCTAGAACCATGAAGGTGCACAGAAATATGAACACAACAGTAGGCTTCTTTCTTGGGCTTTTTAGGCTGTGTGCTTCACATGTTTTTTAATTAAAAAATATTTCCTATTAATTAATTGTAATCTCCAAAGGCCTCTGGGTCCATTTGACTCTGTACCCTCCTACTTGACATCTGCTTTGTTTATTGCCTCCTATGTTCACTCATCATCAGTGATCCGTCCCAAAGTGGAAAAGACACTGGGCAAACATGGATATCTTTGACATATATTATTAGGTTATGTGACTCTCAAGGGGGGTTGCAGAGAAAGCCAGGCTGTTAGATACAAGCTCTAGTTCTTCCCAGTATAGTTGTAGCTAGCTACATCTGTAGCTCGCATCAAATGGAAAACAATCTCTTTTCTCCTGCCAGGGACCTCATTTGATATATTTATTTATAATCTTATGAGGATGCCAGACAATTCCCAATTTCCATGTGGATGAACTAAGAAATTGATGCGAAAACAAGTGAAATGACGAGTATTGGATGGATATTTTCTGCCCACTATCTGGCAATGGCCACTGGCCCTAGGAGTGTCTGGATCTGTCCCCATCCAGCAGTGGCTTCGTTTTCTAGATGCCCATGTGGAGTTCCTTTTCTAGAACACTTGCTTCTCTCTTTCTCCCAACTTCTCATAGTCTAGAACATCCTTAAGCCTCAAAATCTTGAGCAGCTTCCAGGCAATGGCCTTTTAGCAAAAGAATCTGGATGAATTTTATAAATGGTGACTCTAGCCATTCCAATCAAGGAATTTCAAGCCAGGATTCCTCCATCTTGCTTCTGAAAATTCTCTCTCCCCTTTGAGAATCACTTTGCTTTGGATATTAATGGCCACCAAAAAAAAATAATAAAAAATAAAATATATATATATATATGTACACAGTACATGAGATCTAAAGCATTTTTCTGGCTCTAGTGAATGGCTTGTTATAAATCCAGTTCTAGAACGAAACTGCAAAACTCTAGAACCACTCCATGACAAGCTCCCAAAGGGTGATCCAGATCTTGAAGAAGCAGCAGGCAGATTCAGAGCCAGCCTGAGTCTTGATGATTCTCAGTGGGATGGAGAACAGAGCTATTTTTTCCTTTGGCACACAGCAAATCATCCTCCCCGAGCTGCTAAGCAGTCCCCAAGGGCCCAAGTACTTCCTGTCATCTCCACTGGGCCTTTGTTGTGGTTGGAGGCAGAACTCCCAGAAGCAAATCTGTCAGCTCCAAACTGCCCAGTCAAAACCCCTCCTGGCTCCAGGGAGGCACTTTTACAAATGAAGAGCACAGAGGAGGGAAGGGAAGAAAGCTGATCATGAGAAGGTACCATCTATAGCTGCAGGCTGGATATTCATTGGGACAGCTGTCAGCCAAATGCCATCATACCCATTCACCTTCCTTGTACTGCTCTTCGTCATCATCTTTTGGCTGATTATTTTTCTTCCTCCTTCCCTTTACAGTTAATAATTTAGCTTTGTCACTGCCCGCTCCCGGCTCGTCTCCAAGGCCTGGTTCCCTGAACGCTTGCGGTTGCGCTTCAGCTTGGATAAGTCTTTGTCAAAGACCTCGCCTGACCTCAGGGCTGATACCAAGTCATCAAACTCTCCACTCTCCTCAGAGATGCTGCCAGCCTTTGCTTTCTTTTGTCGTCTCTCTTTCTCCCTTTGCTCTTTCAGCTGTTGAGAAAGACACATAGATTTAGGCTTCTCAGCGGGTGGAGAGAATGTTACATTATTAAGAAATACAGTTATAAAAGCACTAAGGGAAGAGTCCATTTCACCTTTCAGGCATCTATAGAAGTATTTATGTACCTAATATCCCATGTAATCCTATTCCATTTTGCTCAGGCCTCCAAAAAATAGTTAACACCAAAGATGGGTGGGCTCCCATCTTCCTCACTGATTTTTGTGACTCGAGTCTTACAGATAAAATGAAAGCATACTACCAAAAGCAGATGCATTAGCAGTTTTATGGCGACTCAAGCAAAAGGGGGATAAGATTTAAATAAGAGACTTAGAAGCCTAAAGCGACGCAATGATGTCTAGTAGGCAGAATATGATCTGTCCCTAAAATACCACAGGGATTGGCACGGTGTGAAAAAAAAAACAGATTAGTGAGGCTTCAGTCAAATTAACACAATCCCACAGGAGAGATGGAGGCATACTAGATGACCTTGTGAGGTCCCTTCCAGCCCTACTTTCCTATGATCCTATAAGAGACCCCCCATGACCCCACTTCCTAAGGGGTGGACATGTGCAAATATGTGTGTATGTGTATGTGTTTCTGAGCAAGAAAGGTAGGAAGTGCTAGGACAAGGAGTTGGTAGAGCCTTGTGTCAATCCCATCAGCTCATATGCTGAACCCAGCATAAAAGCGGAAGTAATTTTCAGGGATGTAAATTAGTTCACCCCTGAAGGAAAGGAAAATACAAATTAGGAAGAATAGGTTGGATGAATGGACTGTAAGGTGGATAGAAAAATGGCTGGATTGTCAGATTCAAAGGATAATAATCAATGGCTCGATATCTAGTTGGCAGCCAGGATCAAATGGAGTGGGCCCAGAGGTCAGTCCTGGAGCCGGTTTTGTTCAATATCTTTATCAACGACCTGGAAGATAAGATGGAGTGCACCCTCAGCAAGTTTGCAGACAACACCAAGCTGGAAGGGGTAGCAGATATCCTGAAAGGTAAGGCTAGGATTAAGAGTGACCTAGACAAATTGGAGGATTGGACCAAAATAAATCTCACAAGATTCAATAAGGACAAGTGCAAAGTCCTGCACTGAGGAGGGAACAATCCCATGTACCAGTGCAGGCTAGGGACTAATTGGTTAAGTAGCAGCTCTGCAAAAAAGACCTGGGGTTACAGTGGACAATAAGCTGGCTGTGTGCACTCTTGTTGCAAAGAAGGCTAACAGCATACTGGGCTGTATTAGTAGGAGCATTGCTGGCAGGCTGAGGAAGGTGATTCTTCCCCTCTATTCAGGACTGGTGAGGATACATCCGGAGTACTGTGTCCAGTTTTAGGCTCCCACTACAGAAAGGATGTGGACAAATTGGAGAGAGTCCAGTGGAGGGCAAAGAAAATGGTTAGGAGGCTGGGGAACATGACTTCTGAGGAGAGGCTGAGGGAACTGGGTTTATTTATTCTGGAGAAGAGAAGACTGAGGCGGGTTTAATAGCAGCCTTTAACTACCTGAAGGGGGTTTACAAAGAGGATGGAGCTGGACTGTTCTCAGTGGTAACAGATGACAGAACAAGGAGTGACAGTCTCAAGTTGCAGCAAAGGAAGTTTAAGTTAGATGTAAGGAAAAATTCTCTCACTAGGAGGGTAGTAAAACACTGGAACAGGTTACCCAGGGAGGTTGTAGAATATCAAGCCTTGAAGGTTTTCAAGATCCAGCTAGAAAAACCTTGGCTGGGATGCTGTAGTTTGGGAGGGTCCTACTTTGAGCAGGGGATTGGTCTAGATGATCTCCTGAGGTCCCTTCCAACCCTAATTTTCTATGGGCACCTATACATGAGTGCAGAGGCTGCTCCAACATGCTGGAATTCCAGCATGTCGGACCAGACTCAATTATATAGCCCCCCCCAAGCTCCCCAGTATTGCCCTTGCTAGTGGGAGGGCACTTCTCTCTGCTCCCACCCCCTGCCAGGAAGAGGCTGATGCAGCCTCCTGCCCTCACCCCACGCACAAATCCAGGGAGGGCACATGTTTCCCATGCCTCCCCCAGGGTGCATGCAGCACCGAGGAGCTACTCCCCCTTCTTACCTCACCTCCCCACACCTCCTGGATAAGCCACTCGCAGCTCCATCCCACTCCCAGCCACAGGATCCTATTCAGTACCCTGGCTGGGCAGTGCCTGCCACTGCCCCAGTCCCTCCCTCACCATGGGGGCCTCAACTGCTCCCCCCCATGCCCCTTCCATCCCCTACGCTCCTTCCCACCCCCTGCCCACAGACTTACTTGCAGGGCACTGGCTGCTTGACTGTGCTCCTGGCCAAGTGCACGGCAGCACCTTTAATTTTGCAGGTTCCCCTGCCCCCCACCCCCCAATTGGTGGAGGGGCCACACTTGCAGCTTGCTCCTCAGCATGGAAGCAAAAGCCACAGTTTTAAACTTGGCACCTTTTTTGTCTCCCCACTACCGATTGGCTGAGGGGCTCCAGCAGCCAAGCTGCTTGCTGCCCACCAGTGAGGAGACAAAAACGGTATCAGGTTTAAAACCACGGCTTCCACTTTGCTTCTGATGAGGAGTGAGCTGCAAGCACAGTCCCTGATGAGCAGGGGCTCCTGGACCCTGGCCCCGCTGGCTCATGCATTAATCTGCCTATGTGCATTTAATAAGAGCAGCTCTTGGAGTTGCTCTACTTAATGCACCACTGCCCCCTACCCCCAGAGCACGTGTATAAGTGTCTTATGATTCTAGATTGTGAGGCAGGCTACATCTAGGTAGTTTTGGGACTGCCAGCATTGTGGCCATAACCACATGGAGCTGAGCATAGACTCACTGCCCCAGAATTTACCTAGCTTCTCAGACAGGTTCTACAGTCCATGCTGAGCTCTGCACTGGCACGGGCACACCGATGCACGGTTCCCAAGCCAGCTAATGTAAAGCTAGCTCAGGTATACCTACATGAGCTGCAGTTCCTGCAAAGAGTGTCTTGTAGTCCTACAGGGTCCTAATCTAGTTTGTCTGGCTGTTGGGAAATGGGACAGTAGTAGCTCTGTGCTGCCCCTTATTCAGACCAGCTTGGCATCTAGCTTAGAGATGAAAAGGGGAGGGGAGAAGTGTCAGACTGATGTAGTTTAGGTCACAGATGAAGTAGGCTGGAGTGTTCAGGGTGCACTGATTAGTACTTTGTGCCATTCAGTCAGTTTGGATTTGGATGAGTCAGTCTCTAACAGTTTTGAGACCGCAGAGGAAACAGTGGGAGCCAGTGCCCAATCCAGAAAAAGAAACTCATAAGAAAAAGAAAGGGAAATGTACTGGTCCAGCTGCCCCAGCTGAGTGAGATATAGAAAGTAAAGAACTGATATTGATGACAAAAACAGCAGCCAATGTTTTAAAATGTATCAGCTAGTAACATCCCTCAATGGGATGAACTTGCTTTGCTGGAGCTACAGCAAGGATGAGTTTGGCTGTGTGAGCTTTTCTAGATAATGCTCATTTGAACTGTCCAGGGCAGGCTGACTCCAAGAGTTAGTGGCAGTGCACAGATGCCCCAATGTGCACAGATGCCTCCCAAAAGCTGTTCTCTTGCGCTGTACATCAGCTCCCGGGATGCATGAAGAGCACCTACATACATCAACTACAAGCCTTTTCTGGGTGAACAAAGGGATGTGAAAGGTTCCTATTCAGTATCTGTTCCCGGAAGGGTGGGTCAGGCTGATAAAAGCCACTGAGGACAGGGAAAGCAGGGCAAAAGTTTTGTATTTTGAAGAGGAGGGCGAGAGGGAGTGAGAAATCCCTGCCAGGTTTCAATGTAGGTTTCTCCTCCTCCCAGCCACACAAGAAATATTTTTCAATCATGTTCCACAATGTTTCTTGCTCCTCCAGTCCTTACCAGACACAGTTCTCCCAGTGTCCCCCAGATCTGACTTGTCCCCTCCTTAATTGTTCCAGTATTACCTTACCTCACCCCCAGCTATGCTACTGAAGCTAAGCTACTGAATCTCAGTCTAGACCTGTGTAGTGCCCTTCCCCTCCTGGCTTCCACTGCTAGCACTGTTGTTGATGCCCCTCAGTCCTGACTGTCAGCCCAATTCCCGTGTTCCATTATTGCAGTCCTAAGATCCTTAATTCCTACTCTGCTGATGCCCTTTAATAAGGATCTGTAGTGCTGCCAGATTCCAGTCTAATCTGGACCTGCCATACCCACCCCTTTGCTATGGAGCATTGGTGAACCAGTCCCATCCAAGTCCTGACATTTTGAATCCCTGAGTACAGAGACTTCAAGGACACTGCTAAAACCCGGGAGATTCCTTATAAATACTCTTCTCCCCTTTTGAATGAAGCAAAGTAGGGTGCGCTCCGAAAATAAAGTTTTAAAGCAGAGATCATCCTGTGCAAGGCCAGGGGGGTTGATAGCTGCTGGGGTTAAAGTGCTGGCAGCGTGAAAGGAGATGGAGGAATGCTGAGCTGGTCTCAGGCCTTGGGGCAGTCTGAGGTTGGGGAGGGAGGGTGGCTCACAGGAAACCCTTGGGACCCACCCATCAGAGTTCCAGTGAAAAAACATCAGTTCACATCAGATGCACACAAGTTTTCCCTGCCTTGTCGAGGGCCAAATGCAGCCTCAGTAACCAAAGCAGCAAAGGCAGCCAATGAGAAATACTGCCAGTGTCTGCATGGCAGACGCTAGTTCATTCACTGTGCCACAATGCACTGACAGGCGACAGGCACAGAATGGATGATAATAGAGTCTGAATGGAAACAACCCAGCTGGCAGGACACAAGGAAATCTGGCTCCAAGACCTTCCGAACAAAAATATCAGCCCTCAAGCAGAAGGACATGCCGTGCTGCAGGGGTGGCAGTCCGGGACAGGGAAGGCAGGCAAGGGGCAAGGAAGGCAACTAACTGCGGTATGGGAAAATCAGGAGCAGAGTATGGCACATGAGTGCAGGGAAGCTGTTGTTGAAGGCCAGAGTAGTGTGGTTTGAAGAGAACCCCATTGACAAGACAAGACAACAGGACCCTTTTTGGGGGCAGAAGGATGCAGGTGCACTGGGGCTTGGGACAGAAAGTCTTACTTGGTCCTGCTCCATTCTGACTCGTGTGCTAAGAAGTTCAAGGCAACCAAAATATGTTCACGCTAAATAAGAACTCTGCAGGGGTAATACAAAGACTACAATGGGAGGGGAAATTGCCCAGTTAAACCGGATTTAAGCAGGAGGAGGGAGAGTTAGGACAGGCCACTGGGAAGATGCAAAACTAGGGGTAGCAAAAAGATAGCATGTTCTGCCAAGAGGCAGGAGAGAGAGAAAAAGTGACTGTGAAACAGTGACGGGGCAGAACATGAGCAGTAAGGTTATCCCCTTAAGCCCTTGTTCTCCCAAGACACAAAAAAGTCACTCCCTTCCCCTTCTCACCCCTGCACCCTCACCATGGCCTCCATGCGTGCCCTGCGCTCCTCCTCTTCTTTCTTCTTCCTCATATTCTCCAGATCTTGCTTGGCCTCCAAGAATGACTGCAGGAAGGTGTCGAAGATGCCAAAAAATTCATCTGGCTGCATCTTGCCTTCGTTCTCTCCGAAATGCTTCAGCGCCTTGGCGTACTATCGGGGGGGGAGGAGGAAGACAAAGTGAGTACAACAGTTAGACAGGCGGACAAGGAGATAAAGCCTCAGAGTGATTATGCACATAACTCTCTAGTTCAGAGAAAACATGCCCTGATAATCCTATCAACTAAGGAAAGAAGTTGCTCCTTTAACTGTCCACTTGGCTTACGCAGGGGGATCTGGAGGGTGTCAGTGAAGCAGCAATGCCAAAAAACATGGCCAGTGTCTGGGCCATGGAGTCATTCCAAGAGGAACTAGCCAGCCACAACACAGCAGCAGCACTGAGCCAGCTTGGGGACAGAAAAGCATCCAGCCAGTGAGAAGCTGCTAGCTAAGGGATGACTGCCAAACCCTGTTTGCTTTCTCTCTCATCTCTCCCCTCTGGGTCAATTGCTAGTATGGCTGGGGTTAAGGGACTCCTCCAATAGCACTGCAGTCTGTTCTGCCTTAGGTCTTTTCCTTTGTAATCTGTCACCATGGAGATCCCTGAGCCAATATAAAAGGGTGTTGCCTGGGAGAGATGAGACCATGGGCAGACATGGCATGAGAGAGGGAGCAAGGAAAGCAGCCAGTGCTCCCAGGCAAACTTAAAAGAGAGCGGAAAGATCACAAGTGGCCTTTATTTCACCAGGCAAATGCTAAGGCTATAAGGAAGTGTTTGGTTGCTGCCAACTGGCAGGACTTCAGTCACAAGCTGGCCTATATCTGGATATGGTAAATTCACAGCAGAGCCTGGCTCTCTGTCATCAGTCCTGCAGCTTGGGTGCATGCACACACACACACACACACACACACACACACACACACCCTACGTACTGTTGCCAGTACGCACATGCACACACACACAGATCGATAATGGCAAAAATGAGCTGGCATGGGGGAGGTGGAGATCTATTCCTATTCCAAACTTTCTCACGAAATGCATGGATCCACCTCTGCCCATAACTACAGATGCATCCACAAATTCATATATGCCACACACATTGTCAACAATACATCCATGTGCTCTCTTACATACTCAACCACTTTCATGGGGTCTGTACATGCTTCCCCCACTCCATACTATCAAAAGATGTCTGTGAACATACACACTAGGACTTTCACTCATTCACGTCGATATACATGCACACACTTTTATCCAGGTTCATAGCCTACTTCAGAAATACACTAGCTATCAAGCTGCACCTTGACTTCCCACAGGCTATGGATTCCCATCCTTTGGTGATTGTAAAGCATCTTGGATGTGCCCCAAGGTAATATAAGTAGGAGCTTCCATGTCCAGAGGGGTAACAAAACAGCTTTCCATTTCTCATTGGATGCTTTTACAGAACATGAAATGCCCCAGGACCTGTGGGGCTCAGATCCCAAACAGAAAATGAATGAAGGGCCCAGAATCAGAAACCATTCAATCTCTGACAGCTGCCTCAGATACAGCATAAGGGACACCATCCAATCCATGAGAAGTGAAAGAAATCCTGTAATAGTGGGCTGCTTTCTAGCACTGCCAGGGAAACTGCAGTTCTCTTCTCTTTTAGTCTCCCTGCCAGGCCCACAAAGCAGTTTTCAGCAACAGATTCTTTTTTTTTTCTGTTCAGGATTGCTCTCTCAGCCAGAAGGAAACAAACAAAGAAATCCAAAGTAGCTGAAATGAAATAAAATTTTCTGGAAGAAATGCAAATTGCTTTGAGCCATTAAACATGGCAGGAGTTGAAAAGGAAGCACAGAAGCAGCGGAAGAAAAATCATGAAGATTTCAGGATGTAACAACTGTCTGGCAAAAGATGCCTGTTTTGTTGAGTCTACCTTTTTTTGACACTTTTAAACATTACAAATATATATACATACATGTATGTATGGTCTTTATTTTACCACATATATTTTCCTAAACACATATATGCAGGCATGCACACATTCACACATACATACATAGCCCTTACATATCTAGGAAAACACAGTAGATTATAAATGATTTCCTTTGGCAGGACAGATTGGTGGCTCCAAGCCTTTCCTAGAGAGACATGACAGAGATTGCCTATACAAAGCTGGCTAGACAGTAGCACCTGAAAAAAAGATCCCTTTAGATAGTTCTTCCTTTAAACTACTAGGAGCCAAATGATTAAACAGAAACAAAAAGAAAAGAGACTTCCACAGTGCATAGACACTGCCATTTCTTCCAGAACAAAGAGCATGGAACATTTTCTGACTATGTGGCACAGACTTATTTGGAGATTCACTTTCCATTGAACTTATTCCTGTGGTTTGCTGAGAACTGAAAAATGTCACAAATCAGAAGCAGTGACATTCTTTTCCCAACATAATGCGGACAAAAATTGTCACAGTTTCATTCTGAACAATTTCCTGCCCCTTTGAATTGCCACAAAATTTCTCAGACTGATTTATTTACTCAAAGGCAGGCCATAATCCAGATTCTGAACTGCATGTCTTTCTCTTAATAGCTCACAAAGGGTTAGAAGCACAACTGCTTCCATTTAAAAGAATGGCTCCTTTAGCTCAAGTGATAGAAACTCATCCTTTAAGCACGAGAGGTCTTCATTCAAGGTCCTGGTGAGAGCCTGTAATAGGAAGGCAGTATATATTGTCACAAACAGCTTTGGTCACAAGGGTTCTCACCAGTACAGATGGTAGAACCACTAGAGCTGAATTGGAAGGAATTTCTCCATTGCTCTGTTATAAAGCATTGCAAGGGGGAGTGAGATAGTGGAGAGATACCAGCCTGGTTCAAGGCCATGGATGGGCAGTCCAGGCACTTATACACAGCCATAGGCTCAGAATTTGTAAATATTTTCCAGTCCGTCTGCTAGGACTCTCAAAAACGTGGTCCTTCCCTGGGCCTCTTGGATGCTGCATAGACGCAACTTGTGTATAACTCCCAAATAATACTTGTAATATTACGACAAGGGGGAGAGGGAGGAGCCTATACAGGCACACATAGGCACACACCCAAATGTCCTGACTGCCATTGCCCAACACCTACCAAGCCCCAGCTGCTTGTGTCACACCAGCAGACATACGTGGGCCATCATACCTCCAACTGGGTCTACCAGAGTTCCACCACCTCAAAAGCACAACATCCTTTAAAGGGAAAGATGGGCAGAGCCAGGAACATAACTTCTATCTTAAGAAGCCCTCCAGTCTAAGCTCCCTGTAACAACTTGGGATTTCCCAATCTGAAAAGCAGAATAATGTACAAACTTCAAGGAAATGAAAAGTACCAAGATAATCATAAAAGAAGCAAAAGTGGGGATCTTCTCATTAAACATTTTCTCTATGCTCCCATTCAGAACCAGTTAAGGTAGAGGAATGCAAAGTAGAGGGCATATCCCAAAACTGTCACCACAGTGTCCTTGTGCTGGTCATTTTCCCTGCCTGTACTTTTGTTTTCCCATCTGTTAAGTAGAGACTATGTTGTTTCTCTGGTACCTGACATGGGAACTATTAGGATTAAAATATTTTAAAATTCTAACATCTGCCAGAGCTGAATGGCCCATCACACTAGTTTGGTTAAGGCACTCTGGTTTCTAGAGGCAGCATTACACAAGTGAGTGATGTGGCCAGCATCACAACCAGCTGTCTTTGACTCCTCAACCTGAAAGACCAGTTGGGTCAAACAGGGCCAGCCTTTGTCTCAAATCCTGAACAAAGCTTGAATCATGCCTCTGATTCTGTAACAAGGGACCTTCACAGTTTTACCATGTATGGGTAAGTTAGTTAACATTTGTAGAGCACAATGTAAGTACAAGGTCTCTTTGTACAGGATGCCATATGCTATTTGCATATCATTTAATTTCCAACATGCCCCTTCCTCTGCTTCCCAACTGTGCCAGTTTTGTCATGTGTTTCTCTAAACAGATTGTCTCTGGGGCACACATTATCCTGTAGGCACATTATCCTCCCAGCTGCCCAGCCTCCAGCACATGAACAGCATGTGATGCACCTCCACTGAGTATGTCTTAATAGCAGCTTTGTAGTATTAACTAGTCAGGGTCATGTGCTGTGATTACCACCACCTCAGTGCACCTCCTTGTCAAAGCAGAAATTTGGGATTGCACTGCTTATTCTTGGCTGGCTGCCCATTAACAGTAAGTAAGTGCTTGTCACACTGAGCCTGCAGCATGCTCCAGGACTGCCACAAATCTTTACAAAACTGTTGGCCATCCAAAAAACAACATGTTCTTCTTATTTAAGATTAAATTATACTTGGTGTAGGCCAAGCTCCATACTGTCAGAGATCCTTCTGCTGGGTTTCATGCCTCTTTCTGTCAATCCCAATCCACATCTTGGAGACATTCAAAGAAGTTACTGTGGACTGTCTGTTATAACCATCTCCTTCATTCAGTCCCCTGGACAGTGAGGCTTAAATTATTTTGCCTTGAACCTCATCTCCCCTATTAATAGATGAAGCGGGTGCATTTCTCACCTTCATCATCACATATAGGCTAGCCTGTCATACAGCCTTCATCATCTGGACCTTGTTTTTCACAGCAAATTGCAAGTTCTCTGTAGGCATGATGCTGTACATGTTACAGACACAAATAGTTTGATTGATCCTAGACTGCTTCCACTAACAATCTTGGCAGACCTTGTAACTTAAGCAACATCAGCTCTGGTCATCTGAACAAGAGATATCTGCAAGAAAGCCAGAGTACTCCAGGCAGTAATGGTAACTATGCAGGAGGTGGCATCTTTCATTCCAGATCAATACTTAATATGTTGTGGTGTAGGAGGGTGCAGTGCTTCTAGGGATGATCTCTTTGGGAGTAGAATACAAACACAAACTCTTTGAGCAAAGGTAATCACAAAGCAGATTGCTTAATTGGCTGAATGTACGGAAAGTAAAATATAACTCACCAAACAGGAAATATACCAAGGAATCTGATCCCTGCCACCGATTCTGTGACCTAGTGCAAGTCACCTAACTTTTCAATGACTCAGACTTGCCATCTGTTAACAATAGTTCTTATGGCATTCTCTTTTGTA